AGCGTTCAAAGATGACGTTGCCATCCGCTGGGACGCCAATGAGTTGACGGAGCTAGATCACGCGAGCTCATTAGCATCATACAAAAACAAAAATAGGATAGCAATTCTGTTCAGCATATTCTCAAGATATAATCAAGTAAAGTAATAGAACAAAATTCATGGCTAAACAGGATAGGGAGCTTGCCAGCGGTGGTCGGCAAGGACTCCAGGGTGCTTGATGGGGAGTGGTTCAAGCTCCGACCGGAGCTAGCTAGGGTGGAGACCATCTACATACCTTCTGAGGAAGAACCCGAGCACCCAGTTCTCTCAGAGGAACCTTGAAGCGTCGAGTGCTGTCGTTGTAGAGCACTTTGATTGTGATTAGGGTTCCAGGTCCGACTGGACCAGCCGGGGGAATGGGGGTAGCCATGGTGTAGACTGAGGATGAAGGTGACGAAGGTGAACTAGAGATAAGGCACTAGTCACCTACGTAGGAGATGATGAGCAGGAAGCGAAGAAAGAAGGTTGTAAGAAGCAAGATGGTGAAAGAAAAGGTTGAGAGATTGATGAGGATGATAAAAAGTACAATGGATGAAGTCAGATATAAAGTACTAAATAGATAAGAGGTAGAGGGAAGAGGGAGAAGAGGAGAGAGTGAGAGAGAGAGAGAGAGAGAGAGGGAGCTAGAGTAATAAAGTGAGGTAAAGGTAAGGTATGGCAGGAGGAGGCTGCCTGGGGGCTACGTAACAACCTAAGAGGTCGACTAGAGTCTAGAGATGCGGAGGAGGAAGGTCATCTGCTGCTCCCGTCTCCATTCGGCTTTCCGGGGGAAGGCTTTACAATAATAGTTCAATGAGAATGAGGCGGTGAAGCTCACATCGTTATCCTTATTATCATTGGTACCATCCGTACTACCTTACCTAGGTACTTCGCATACTTGCACGAAACACCATTAGATCCCCGTTGGTATTATCATCATCGTCATGATTACTGTATACTTAGAGAGGTATGAGAGGTACTCGACTACCTATTTCCCTCTCCAGGGTTTACTGTTTGAATTAATTCTTTCTCTTCTAAGGATAATGCGTGATGCTCATTTGGAGATATAGACGTGCTCCTGTACTATGTACCTCTCGTTCTCAGGGACGCCACCCATCCCATCTCGCCAATTCTTTAGATTAGTCATAAATTCATCCAATCCTTTCTACAGCCAAAGAGGACGAGAAAAAGCTGATCACACGGGTTGTTTTCCTTCATATTTGAATTATAGGGCCCCCGCCACAACGCAAACACCATTCCTAAATGCTAGAGCGCAGCGGACGGCGGAACAAAGCACGGACAACAATGCAGGCAGAAGACAAGAGTAGAACTATCGAAAGACCCCTGCAGGTCAAAAGTGTGCAAACGGGTAAATAATTGAATTTTTCCAGGGTTCGCCTTTCAAGGAATATGGAGAAAAGAAAAATGTCAACATTCCACGAAGAAAGGATGGAACAGCACCGGGAAGTGGGAAATCAATGCCACATCGCTTTCCAGATAGTAAGCAGGAAAAATGTGTACAGAACATGAGAGGTTCCGGCCAACAAAAGTTGGCACCGCAATGATGAGCAGACAGTCGCTAAGGATGCAAAGGGTGGCTTATCTAATAACAATCCATATGAAAGCTCAAGGAAACGGCATCATGGAGAGTTTCATCAGACAGGAAGCATGAAGATGGGACAGTAAACTGAAACGAGGAGATGGAAAACGGTTGACAATGGACGAGACGCCTATAGTCGACATCATAAGTTTTGGTAATAATCGATTGCGTGGCATCACAGTGAGACTAAAGCGCAGGACGAAAAATGTGTGGAAGGGGAAATGTAAAACAAAAGCAAGAGAGGATAAGGAAGACGACAAGGTAAGAATATGTTAAGGTATCAAAATGTGAACGAAAGAAAAAAATCGAAAATGCCTCTTTTGCTTTTTTTTTTTAATTATTATTGCGGAGCGTAGTATACACCACCCTGCGGCTGAGGATAATAGAAGGTTGTGCCTGGAGGAGTCATCATTCCACCCATGCCGATGACGCCACCAGGCCCCGGCGCAGAGGGCGTGGCATAGGATGTGTTAGGCCACATCTGTGTGGCGTCATAGAAATAAACTGTGCCACCTGCCTCGTGGGCCACTGTGCCTGGTTGCGAAGGCTGCTCTGCGGATGAGGCGTGGGCTCCTGGAACCACATATGGAGCTTGCTGTCCTGCTGGGGGATAGGGCACGAGGGATGCTCCCGGCATGCCGGCTGCGTTGTAGGGGGGGAATTCTGTTCCAGACACTGGATAGTATACTGTACCGGGGGGATAAGCGGTAGGATAAAATGGCTGGGCTTGTTGGAAGCCATATGGTTGGAAAGGTTGAGCATGGATTGCTCGCTCGGGTATGTGCGATGAAGGTGTCCCAGCTGCATGGGCAGATTGAGCATCGGTACCATAGCCGGGGCCATTGATAGGCATAGGAACCTGGTGTTGGAATGGTTGTTCCTGCTGTGGCTGGGGGGCGTTAAAGGAGAAGCTTGCAGGAGTCTCTATATCGGCGACAGAAACCGCTTTCTGGGGACGGGGCTGATGCATTGGGATGGGAGCTGGACGGCTCTCGCGGTACGAGGGCTGCTGGGGCTGAGGTTGAGGCATAGCTTGTGGCAGTGACGCGGTAACAACGGCTCCGGGACCAGCAGCAGCGGCTGACGGTGGCACGCCGCCTAATGGCCTGGAAGGTGGAGGCAGACGGACGATTGGCTTCCCATTCTCGGTCGTAACCACCGTATGTCTTGACAATACAGACGCAGCCGGCGAGGGGTATCCATCATGAGAGGCTGGCTTTCCCATCGACGATCTCCGGCTAGCGGTGACGCTTGGGGTGTAGACGGAGCCCGCATAAATACTCGGACGGCGTCCGCCATAGAATCCACCCCGGCCTCTGCCACGGTAACCCTGCTGGTTTGGCCTCAGCGCTCGTGGAATAAAGATGAACGAGCGCTCTGTCGAGGGGAATATGTATCTCGGAGACTGTCCAGGGAACGATATGCGAACGGGCTTGTCTCGACGTAACGGGGGACGATGTTGAGGGAGACGAGTGTGCTGCTTTTTTGGAACGGCAGGGAAAGGTATGGGCCGAGCCATGCCATGCAGAAACACTACAACAGGCACATTGCCGATCAGGGTGGTGCTCGAGAAAGACCTATTCGGGGGCGTAGAACGAGGAGCCGTAGGGACAGGCTTTGGGGCAAAGTTCGACATGGATCCCGGTACAACAGAGGGCTTGTCGACGGGTTCATCTCCTGCGACCATCTCGTGCAGATCATGCGTCCACTGCCCTTCACTAGCATCAGGTTTGGAGTGCCTTGCGTGTGGAACGATGGTTAGCTATCGGGAGCACATGACAAAAGGGTCGGGGAAGGCTCACCTGCGAACATTCCCATCTACGATGAGGCCATAAGGTCTCGACTTTGATTTGTTGAACGGCCTGTGGCCATTCGGGCCAGACTCGGTGGAACGCTTATCGTGAAGGAAAAAGCGTCCTCGAGTAGGCACGAAGGCCGGATTCTCATCCCGCTCCTTTGCATACCTTTCGTGTTCGCGACGTTTGCGCTCCGCAAAAGTCCCTCTCTTCGCTTCTGTGGGAGGTGCAGATGGTGTCCTTCCTGTCAGTAAACCAGACTCCCCCTTCATATCATCAAAGTGGATTTCCGCCACTTCATTCGTCTGATCAGACAGCGTCAATCCATTCATCATTGCCTCAGTATCTGACACAGCGGTAGCTGTGTGTCGTTTTCCAGGAGATGAGGAATGGCGTCGTCCAGATCGCTGGTTGATTTCAGGCACGAGACCGTTGACCTGAGGTCCGTTGGTTCTGTCCAAGTGCGGGGACGAAGAAGCCTCCCCGTCGCTCTCGTCGCTTCCCTCGCCATCAGCATCATCATCATCATCATCACCTGGATGACTGATGACCGAGCCCTCGCTTAACGAATCATCTTCCAACTCTCCCTCTAGGGAACCTTCATCCTCGCCTTCCTCATCTCTTCTTCTCCTCCGCCGGCTAGCACCGATGTTGCGACGACGTGAGGCCATTTTTGATTGGCTTAGGCGATGGAAAGAAGGGATATGATCGAACACTAAATGCAATATTCCTTCTAGTCACCGTAAATTTTGGGAGGAGGATTGAGGTAAGGATAAAGGACGCACCGAGCAGGAACGAAGAGCGGCGAGACAATCGGATTGCAAGGACCGGGGGGCGGGAATGATCAACAGAAGCGGCAAAAACTCGAACACGTGTATGGAGAGAGGGGAGTGAACGTAGAAAGGTTGATGGGCGGATGAGAGGAAGATGCACCTCGATAACGAGGGCGGAGGAGTGTGGGACGGTTGGGCAGTCGAGGGAGATGCAACAAGATGAGCATTATCAAAGTTGATCGCTTTTGGCATGAGCCATGACATCTCTCTTCGATGTCAACTATCCAAATCTGGTTAGTGCCCCCTAAAACCACCTCAGCGAATCTAGAATTACTAGCATAAATAAACCCGACACAAGCCATCGACGGTTAGACTGGTTAGGCGTTAGGCATAAGAGTAGCTAATCACATTAGGTATGGCGATCAGATAAGTCAGCATTATTATCCATAGTTGATGAAGAAATTCTATGTACAATATCAGGGTTGAATGTTCACTTGAAGATACTAATGTAAGCTAATGGATGGATTCTAGCTCGAAAGTGGTCATAGCTTGTTTATGTCTATCATCCAATTTAAACGTATGGTGCAAAGTACACACGCTCATACTCACAGCAGTATGGCTGTGTGGTATAGCACAGTACATTATTCTATTCACGATCAAGCCAATCAATATTTACTGCAATAATGACAGCTCTAAAGGGACTCGCAAAGGAAAAGGTGTTGAACGTCAATCATCACTTGACTGAAAAGCTTCAGTATAGCGTATGAATGATGGGGAAGATGCCCATCTGCTCCGTTTCTATATTGACAAGTCTCAATCGAACGTGATTTTCTTTCCTTGGGGTTCGACAATAGCACCGCTAAGCTTTTGCACGGTTTCTTTGGCGTATCTTGAGTATTCAGGCTTGTTGTTTCGCTTGGGCTTTTCAGGATGTGACCGTTGCGGCCTGTCTCCAGTCGACGCCTGCTCAAGAGGCTCATCTTCCACTTCAGTAATGACCGAATCATCCTTCTTCTTGCCTTCGCCATCCTTACCGAACCGCTTCTTGTACCGTGTCGTCGCATCCTCTGCGAACTCCATGCGCATTCGTCGACCAAGAAGCTGGTTCACCCAAACCCTCCTCTGTCTGTGTTTTTTTGACTTCCTGCGCTTTCCGGACTCTTCTTCTCCGGAGCCCTCATCACCTTCGTCATCTTCATCAACCATAATAAAGCCCTTCACCGCTGCTTCGGCGGCAGCAAGATCCTCGAACTCCACCCAAGCATAGCCCTTGCATTTTCCACTATCCTGAAACGTTGCAACATGTACATGTGCGACGGTACCGCATTGTCCAAAATGTTCCTCGATGACCTCTTTTGTAGCATCAAAGCCGAGATTGCCAACGAATATCCGTTTCGAAGGAGGTTTCGTAGCTGTTGCCGCGGAATCCTGTTCTGACTTTTTTGGTCTGCCGTCAAAACTCTTCGCGTCCTTGATCAACACACGGCGCCCAGCTAGCAGCTGCTCGCTCAATCCTACCGCCTCCTTCACAGCCTTCTCGTTGGCAAGGTCGATGTAAGCGAAGCCCTTGTTCTGAGCCTTTCCAAATTTTTCCTGGCCCTTAGGAAGATGTATACGGGTGATTGTGGTATCCGCAAATGTGCAATTGCTTGTGAAGAACTTGCGCAGATCATCTTTGGTCACCGAAAAGGCAAGGTTTCCAATCCAGATGCCGTGCTCTGAACGTTTTTTGGGGGCCTCGTCTTCTTGCTTTTTGCTGGGCACAGCGGCCTCTTGCTCCGTTGTGGACTCTGCCGTAGGCTCGGCAACCTTCTTTTTGGCTTTGCGCAGAGCCTTTTTCGACGGAGGTTCTGGCGCGGACACATCGATTTCAATTTCAGGAACGTCTGTGAGCTTTCGCTTTTTTTGACTACCTTCACCGAGGCCAGCCATGTTGGACAGAAATCAGGTTCGTCAATGACTCGAAAATCGTTCTTAGAAAGTGGTCCACTTCAATTAATAGAATAATGAGATCTTAAAATAGCAATTCACAGTAGAAACTTGTTTTGACTGGCCAAGTCAATCAAGCGCATTCAGCTATTGTCTTCAATATGAATGGGGAAGATTGAAACTTTTTACGGCGGG